AGATTAATTTTAAGCAGTAAAATTAGGACTTCTCACTCTGAACCATGTGTTTATGTTTTGATGGATATTTTCTCTTTTTGCTATATGGTTTATGAAGAGAATATTAGACAGCGGAACATCAAGCACATTTTTCTTCCTATTTAAGCTCTTAAAATTACTTACTACTAATCGCACAGTGTCATTTTATGCAGTTCTATAACTCCTGGTTATAATAAAGAGTATCACATTTTTTTTTAATGTTTGCATGCATTTCTATAAGCAAACATGAATTGATAAGATCTCAAATTCCAGCTCAATTATCTTTGAACAAATTTGTCATGTAAACACCGGCTTAGAGTTAATTAAAATGAATTGCATTTAATTTGTGTGCAGAACTGAAAACTGTTTACAGTAAAGTAGAACAACAACATACATATATGTTAGTGGTATGGCAAACGCAACCTTCTCCTTCTCCTGTAGAATCTTTTTGTGGAATTAACATACTTAATGATTATGAAATCCTAAATCGTCCATGAAAGAAAAACATTACCACATGCTACATTATGGTCAGGCATTACCAGAAATGGTGTCTTCTGCAGCATAACCACACACCAAGCCCTATCAGCTCAGTATAACTACAATGAATCACATTTGGAGTGTGAAATAAAATTTGGGTGTAAGATTGTGGCAGTGACTGCTGGAGAGTCATGCTACGTTTCATCACTTTGTAATTTAGAACGCACTTCTTTCGACAAGGGAGCTAAAAAACGGAGCGGAGTGGATAATGTGACAAAGAAAAGGAGCCAATTTTCTGTGTGTTGCAACACACAGTGCCGGCTCTCGCACTCATGCTTTTCAGCAGGAGGACAATTGTTCACTTTGGCTTTCTAGTGATCCTGGATAGTATGTGTGGCACTCCAACACACTTCTTTAGAAGAAAAAAAAATGCCTCACATTCCCTTCTAATTTAAATGGTCGCATATCTTTAGCAGGCAGTGAAAAGTTAATGAGATGATGTAAAATTAATCCTCAGTTTTGCTTCATAATGGAATCTTAGACAGCCTGTACTTAACATGCAGACCTTTTTCTTTTACAATTTAAAGTGGCCTTTTGAATGGGCAGTTTAATCCAAACCTTAAAATGTCAGCATGTTGAGACTTATAAATAAGGCAACTTTTTATGTTTTAAGTAAAATGTAGTAGAATAGACATTTTAAGAGTAATAATCAAGCTCATAAATTCACATATTCCAGGGTAATCATCCATTAATTAGGTTTATTTCTGGTTTAAGGAGATAAATGTATACATTTGATATCAGAAACCTAGAATGGTCCTACAAGGACTTTCGCTGACAGGTTTAGTTGAGTTAACTAAGTTATGCTACCCAGGTCCACTGCTAAAGGCTTAAACTTTCTTTTGTTGCTCTGTGATAGGATTTGGAGCCCGAACAGGTTACAGCTGTGGAAACTAAATGAAACATATTCTCATTTAGAGTTTCCAGGCCCATTGAATGCATTTCTGGTTAACCTCCCTGGTGCATAATTTTTGTAGCAACCATAACTGGTTTATTTGTTTTTTTGGCAAAAGCAAAAGAATAGTAATCCTAAGAGACCTGTGAAATGAAAAAAATACATATAAAAGAGTATTTTAAACAGTATGATTCCTATCAGGCACATCCCAGTTAGATATCAACTTGCGTAAACGTTATTTGGGGCCACAGTTTTAACTTTATTGCCAGAGAAACCAGAGTTTTGTCCTAATGCTGCAGAGATTAGCAGTGCTACCCCTTCCTCGCTTGTTTTATTTTATTTTTGTGTCCATTAGCTGGCTGGAGGAATTTCTTTTATCTACCACACTTATTACTTGTCAGTACCACATGCAAACCAACTGGAATGTCTGTTTAATGTGAAACGTAGATTTGAAAGGCAGCATTTAAATCAGTGCTTTGTTCTTCTGAATGGTTGCTTATCTTTGCACAGAACATTCCAGCAGTATTTAGCTTAGAGATTCCTCTGCTCAGTGGAGAAATCCGATAGAGTATGAGGAAGATATTCAAAATTAAACGCCTAAAATAAAGGCAAGTTTTGTCCACTATTGGATATTTTTTTTATTTCCCATGTTAGTCATTCAGTTTGTGTGATAGTTTATGGTAGGAATTGTTGCAATATGGTGTGAGCGGGTTTCTTTCCAAACAATCGCGGGCCTGCAAAATAATTGGCAGATGCTCCATTGACCAAACCAGCTACAGCATTTTGAGCCGAGTTGACCTATAGCATCTGCATCCGCTGCCAGAGACTTAAATTTGATCAAACATAATGAAGAGCAGATTTGATGAAGCAAGCCCTTGGCAGCACGATTGAAAGCCAAGATTGGTTGGTCATTTTGCCCAGATGATGTTTAGAAATGGGCACGATTATTCAGATATTTTTTCTCCCATATTTTTTGGTACTGTATTTTCTTTTTTTTTATAATTGACTCATGCGATTAGTCTCACAAATAAATGACTGAAATTGTTGACTGTCGCTAATCTTTTTAAATGATATTTTGAAACATTTTTATCTCAGCCAAAGCAAAACACAGATACATCTGTATAGTGTTAAAATTTAAAATCTGGTCAGTTTGCTGATGATCACTACTTATCAATACAAAGATTTAAAATAATTATTTGAATATCACATTAGTCCAATCTAAAAACAGAAGTGACTTAACAAAAAAATATAATGTAAGGCTGCTGACTTTTCAAGTGTATCACAGTGTGTCACTGACGTCTTTCACAGAGAGATTTAAGCCAAAAAAGTCAAAGAGGATAATGAAAGGTTGGTGGGAAGAAAAAGGATGTTAGAAACAGGTGCATAGGAAAGAGGAACTGGTTGATGGTTGTGCTAATGCTTTGCTTAATAAAACACAGCAACAAGGCTTCACAAGTGAGCACTGACTGTGGAAAATTGCAAAGACTTAATTTAAAGGGAGGACTGTTCAGACCTTGTTTCACATTCATGTATGTCTGAACACCTGGAAGACTTCCGAATTTAACCCAAACTCTTTAAGTAGGCTTTGTTCCTTAAATCTGTAGTCGAGTGTGGTGGATTTTTGTAAATTTTTTTAAAGGATCCCTCTTAGAACGCCTATTAAACGTGTTAGAGAGCATGCACGAGCCCATTAATAGCAGTGATGTGAAATGGATTTCTCCAAAAAGCATGCCAAACTTTAGCTGTCTAGTAGAAACTTCACAACCTAGGCATCAGTGGGAAGCCCGACCTTTACTTTTGGTGTATGCCATCATGTGAAAGAATCTCCCAAAAACACTCTGGTCTTGTTTCTCTTTTCTGAGGCCTTTCTCTTCTTCTCATACACTTCGTAGAAACTTTTTAGCTTACAACCCTCTGCCGTTTTCAAAGAACCGTGGATAGAAAGGCAAGGTTTAATGACTGGCTGAAACCGTAGCACGCCACACATACACCTGAAAGTGAGCATGGGCAGAAAAATGTAGCTACCTAGGGACTATCATGTAGGATGGCCTTATGTAAACATATCACCAGAACGATTGACAAATAGGAGGACCACTTATTTTGATGATCCACCCGGCAAAAGAAAATCCTCCACTATACCTTTAAGGCAGCAGGTATTTCTGTTGCTTGTGCACCTTTATGGACACTCAACTTTCTGTTTATATGTTGTCCTGAATGCAGTCTTTCTTATATGTGTCTGTCTAAAAATTTCTACACTAAAATATGTTATTGATTGAATATAATTTCCAAATTATGGAGAGAAAACAGATTTTGTGTTTCTGTCATCAGGAAGCTATTAAGCAAGTAATGTTTTAAATTCCTAGAGGTCAGTTCTAGAAATTTATAACTTTTTTAGATGAATTTGTATTTGAGTTTCAATCTTTAAAAAAGCATTGCTCAAATAAATTAACTTTCAATGATACTGTAATTTGTGGAGATTCACAGTTGACAAAGGGTCTTTTTAATTTGATTTATGAATTACCTTCCTTGGAAACTGCATTTACAGAAGCTACTGTATAGTGCTCATCAGTTTTATGACTGCATGTGAGAAAGGATTAAAAATCAGGTAAAAATACTTTATTTGTAGAGGTGAAAAATAAATTATATATACTTAATAACTGTGAATGAAGTTAGAATTTCTTTTTTTAGTTCATTAATTCAGATGTTATTAAACAGTACTACTTGGCTTTTAGATACTGGTATTCAGCGTAAACATTTTTAGCAAAGTGGCTTGAATGGAAGAAAAGAATGTTTAAAAATTTAACTGAATGAGAGAAAGGACACAGGGAAGAAGGGCTGAGATGTGCATCTGGTGGAGGGGTAACGAGACAGCGCAAAAGGTTGACGAGTGTATGGGAGGGCAGTCATCAAAATGCTAATGTTGTATGGGATATTTACTGCAGAGGCTTAATGCAGTTTAAAACAGGCTCTTTGTCCTGTAGCCCATCACCAAACCCCTGTTGGGCTCTAATAAATCAGCCATTAAAAGCTGATGTGACCTGAATAGTATGGCAGGCAGTCTTAGTGCCAGAGAGAAGCTGCAGAAAACTGGCTGAAATATTTATGAAGATGTCGTTCAATAACAGTTGACCTAGAAGAAACCCTAAATAAAGAGGTCTGATGTGGCCGTAAGAAGTTAATAATTATGCTGTTGAAAATAGATTATTATTATATCTATATATTCACTTATTTACCTAAGTGTATATGTGGCAAGTGAAGAGAAACAGCATGACATTACTAGTCTTTGCAAATCAACCAATGTACAGTAAGGTCTCGAGGTTGTGTTTTTTTTGTAGTATGATAAATATAAAACAGTGAAATTTATTCATGTTTTAAAATTGTGAGAAAAGGATTTTGTCACAAGTCTTGATCCTAGATATGTGCCTAAATGAAGCAATGTGCTTAAATTGGTCTCATTCTTCCATGTATCGTTTCTCATCATCTATTTTTAAAGAAATATCCATTATCACGCCTTGCTGTGGGTTTCCTAAACTCTTTCCCCTTTTCTTTCCAGGACAGAATATGCCTTTATCACCTCGAATGTGAATTGCAGGAATTGTAATCAGCAGCACTCAAGATCCGCCCTCCGTTCTCAGGCTAAGGTATTGTGCCATTTTTCAGACTTCATAAACAGAGCTGAAAATGTTTGATTGCAATTCATGAATACAAAATCGATCGGAGATTAAACGTACAATATGTGCCCCGTCGCCGTCACCTCGCCAAACACTGTGCAGTGATGAAGAGCAATCATGTGAGCCAGTTTGGCTTGTTCCTTGTGTGCAGTCGGGTGTTTACTGAAATGATTTATGATGGGTGCTCATCTCCCTATGCAAATCTGGAGAACACCTTCGATAAGCCTCTAATTTCTATGACAGCAACAAGGCGGATCTTTTTCTTTGTATGTAAAGAGCATGTTTGGATTTCATTCTCTAATGCAAATTAAGGTTTTGGTATAATCAAGCAAAAGTACAGCTGGTTCGCGTTTTTTTTTTTCACATGTCAAATCTCGTCCCTTCCTACCCGCTTTTCCAAACTGTCCAAGCATATCCGACTGTTTGCTCTGTACTCATCTTCCATGCCTTTTCACGTTCAATTGTCATGACAGCCGAGGCCCTTCCCCTTCGCAATCCATTGTCGCAAAGACACACAAACATGCACGCTTCTTGGCTCTCCAGAATGAATGGATCCACTTCCCTGGGTGCCTCCTGCAGAGAGGTGGGATTGAATTCAATTAGGGAGATTGTTTGTCCTCCAGAGTCTACTGGTGGGCTGGGTTTGCCAGTTAATGCCCCCCTGTTTACCCCACTCCTCAATGTCCCTCACATCAACACACACCGACAATTCTTCTGTATCCTCTTTTTTTGTTTTATTTGTGTGCTATTTCCTGAATTAGTATTCAATGAGATTAGGATATGAGTCAGAATGTGTCATATCACCTCTTCTTTTATTTGTAGCAAACATCTGCAGAGTTACATAGATGGATTTTATTTTCCACAGGTGAATAATTGGATCCAACGTTTGAGCTCGATTCCAGCAGTTGCACACACGTTCTAGGAAAAATCCATTTTTACAATTAGTTTATTCACCGACATATCTGGAGACAAAGACAGGATGGTAAATGTTGCTTACGTAGGAGTAATGGACCCATTAGTAGCAAAGGTGAAAATAGAACTGTGGCTGTCATTGAAATAATATTGAGAGCGGCTTATTTGTGCGCTGAGTTTTGTGTTTTTTATACATAATGGACTTGATTGTGTGTAGGAACACATTTCAGCGGCTGGTCCAGCAGCCTGCTGCTTTCTCTCGTCTGTCAAACTGCTTGACTGTGTGCTGGTGCTGCCTAGAAATCAGATACTGTATTAGTGCTGAAAGATGTCAAATTAATTAAAAAACAAGAAAGATCACCACCCTGATGTACTCTGACGCTGAATTACGGCCTTTGTTTGTTTAAATTTACTTATCTTTGTTCACTTTTGAATGAGCCTGATCAACTTGAAGAATATCCCCATTTTTAGCATGCCTAAATCTTATTTTATTTACAAGCACAGGAATTCGATAATAGATTATGCATTTGGTGCACTGTCTTTCCCTTTATTTTTTATTTTACTTTCTTTTTTCATTTTAAAACCAGAAACCCCTGTGCATTAGATGTTTACTGATAGAGCAACCCACTTTTACAAATGTTTAAGTTCGATAGGGCCTTTTATTCACCCACTAAGTAATTACTATGTAGAATTATTGTGGCCGCATGTGTTTCTAGTGTGTCTTCACCAGATTTGCACATCTCCGTCCCATTCTTCTTTGCAAAACAGCTTAAACAGAGAGGGACTGAATGCAAAGTATCTTGAACCAAAATTTTCTACTCACTCTATAAACACCATTTAATTTCCTTTTGGGATGAACAAAGTGTACTTGAAATAGATCTAATAAAATTAAATAGAATTGAAAAAAATACCCCAAGACCATGTGGCTGCCACCACGGTGCTTAACTTTAACCTCTTTTACCAAAAAAATTGTGTTATAATTAGGACTGAAACAATTAATCCAATTAATCGTGATTGATCAATTATTGACATAATCGTGAAACGATTTAGTAATTGATAAATCGTTATCTTCAGTGTAGACATGGTACAACATGTCTTTAGCTGACAGAGCAACCCACCTTCAGTAGCAATTATAACCAAAATTCTACAAAAAATGTATAAACATAATGCATTTAAAGGTATTTTGGAGGTTTTTCTCGAATAAAAAGAAAGAAAAACTTGCTCCCTCCACAAAAAAATGCACGTGCGAGAGCATGCATAAGTCCATTTCTCCTTGTGTACGCTCTGTTTTAAAGTCGCTTTTTTCATAGCTCATGCAAGCTTAATGTGCCTGAACGTCCGCTTTAACCCCTAAATTCCTAAATCACTATATAGAGCGGGGACTATATAGTGGAGTTTATCGTGAACTCATTTAACTTACTGTTTGAACAGACGATCAATCCCCCACTGGTCTACTGCGAGGTGCCTGCGCCATCTTTGTTATTAGTTGCCGCTGTTGTGTAGCGGCAGCCTATGGCGACATATCACTAGAATGATTGACAATTAGGAGGACCACTTATTTAGATGATCCACCTGGAAATAAAAGATCGTCCCCTATACCTTTAAGATAAAAAAAAAAACTTTTTTATCTGTCAATATGCTCCATCCAGAACTTCTCAAGTGGAAAAGTTTTAGATTCCCCTGGTTTAAATTTGTAAAAAGTCTTCTTAAAGGAACCTTTTGCTATCTGATTAATCAAAAAAATAATCAACATATTAATTTGCAAAATAAATGTTAGTTGCAGCCCTAGTTATAATCCTGCAAAGACCAGCTGATTATTGACACATCGGGCCATTTAAGAATAAGACGGGAGACAGTAGATTACAAAATGCTACACATATATCTGATGTTCTTGAACATCTCATCAGAAATTATGTCGGAGTATTTTTTCTGCTTTAAAATTGTGGGACTGGTTGGACCCACAAACAATACACCATCTCAATATTTCTCCCTTAATTCTGAGGTAATCTTACCTTGTGGAATTAGCTAATATGACCTATTACTATATCACAGTGTTTTGTGGAAAAACTTTCCAGAATTAAGTTTTTTTTTTTAAAACAAAAAAACAAAAACAATATACTCTATAATAGGATATACTTTTTGCTACTGTAGAAACATTTGTGGTCGATTCCCTGTTGTTAGCCATGTGTGACCATAGCACACATATCAGAGGGTTGATATTTATTTTATTTATTTTGGTAGTTTTCAGAGAGGAAGATCAACAGTTTTTTTTTTTTTTTTTAATGGAAGAACACTTGGTGCCAAAATAAAATGGATTTAAACCACAACTCAATATTTGTGGTGGAATAAAAGGCCTTTCTTGCAATTTAGAATAGAGAAGAGCATTAAAAATACATTTTTTTGTTATTCTTAAGTGTACATTTTTAAAACTACCTTTTACTTGTCCTTCTTTAGAACCATGCACTACATTATATTACATGTTTAAAATTTAACTGGGCTTTTAAACACTTTGGCACAAGCAATATAGGTTCGCTCAAACTGCAAAGCTCAACTACAAACTCATTTGAGAGCATAAAACTCTCTGAACAATGCTTTGCATAGCCAGTATGGTTTCCCATAGCAGCATCCATTCAGGTTAGTTTGACCATAATGAGCTGTGACAGCAGCCCGGCTAAGTTTTGGTTCTGTTATCTTAAAGCCCAGCATTTGTTTTGATAGCATGATCCTGCTCAGGGGGATTTTCCAAATAATGCAAAACAGGTCATTTGAATTGGAAAGGGGGTGGACTGCTTTCAGCCTATGTCAGCATTGCCCTCGGATTTGAATTTGGTCCAGAAGTAGTTGACTTTGCACATCGTTGGTGTGTCTGGTTACTGAGGCAACTCAGGTCTGCCTGAGAAACAGCCCGGGTTTCAGAGATACAAGGCAAAGTGCAGAAACCCTTTAAATTACCAAATTACTTTAAATGGCACACATTGTTTTATGTTGTTTGTACGGCTGATACTGGTCTATTGTAGAGCCTCTGCAGAGAGCGCTGCTGTCTTGACAACGTTGACTCTGAAAAAATATATTTGCCCAAACATCAGTGTTGTGATTATCTTTAATAACTGGTTAAGGCTAATATAAGAACGGTCTGTTCCTGCAGGTCATTTTATCTGAGAAGTTCTGTGCAACATTTTCCAAGTTGTCTGGTAAAAACTGATTAAACTCACAAACAAAATCATGAATATTCCGTAATGATTATTATGAATCCTTAAGATGCTTTGGATCGCTATGGATGCTTTTCTGCTATGCTTTCAGTTTAGGAAGATGGCAAGTAAAAAAAAAAAAGTGTGTTCCTATGCAATTTGGAAATTTGTATTTGAAGACCTCAGCCCCTTTTCATTTTGTATCTGAAATGGGAATAAAATGGTTCATAAAATTGTTCTCTTTCTTTCTTTCTTTCTTTCTTTCTTTCTTTCTTTCTTTCTTTCTTTCTTTCTTTCTTTCTTTCTTTCTTTCTTTCTTTCTTTCTTTCTTTCTTTCTTTCTTTCTTTCTTTCTTTCTTTCTTTCTTTCTTTCTTTCTTTCTTTCTTTCTTTCTTTCTTTCTTTCTTCCTTCTGCAGCATCTTTTGGCTTTTGTCCACCATTTTCATTAGGTGTTGTCAGGTTAATATTTTGTTGTTTTTTGTTTTTGTTTTTAGATTGTTAAGGTCTAAGGTTGTTTTTTTGACAAAATGTGGTTGATAGGGGTGCCTTGCCGGCAGGTGTCATAGGGCACCATGGTGGGAGCCTTTCTATGTTGACACCAAATAACAGCATCAACAGGGGTGCTGGCGGCGTGAAGGAAGTTTTCTTGGTTGTGTGAGAGATGATTCGACATGCGTCCATTAGCTCTGCAGCCAGCATGAACAAGCCTGTGATTTATTTTGTAGAGAAAATGGAACAGGTGGGGTTTGAATGGCTTTTTTCCAACAACAAAATTCACACTGTCGAAATTAACTCTGTTGATTAGTGGTAATTTTCTGGTCAAAGAGCTATCCAGGCATAGAAAGTTGGCCTCTCCTATTATGAAAGTT